TCTTTAACATGCCTAATTCAGACATAGAAGGAACTATCAGCAAACTCGCTCCATCCCAAATCTTATTGTGTCCACCCTCTCTGCAGAGATATGGCACAGGAGTGAAGTGAGTAAGACACAGTCATCAACACCCTCTTCCTTCCTGTGCCTTCCCCACATTGCACAGTAAGCAAGAGGCTCCTGGGGAGCAACTCCATTTATGTGCACCCGCCAAGTGCTCGGGGCTGACCCCGCCCCAGGCGCGCAGTGCATGCGCAGTGTCAGTCCTGGGTGCGCGGGGAGCACTGGCCCTGGGTGCGCGAGCGGCCCCGCCCCTGGGCACCCAGCAACTCCAAAAGGTTGGGTACCACTGCCCTATACTATACAGATTTCATGGGAGAGACCACTTTTTCCTCAAATTAGGGGACCCAACCTAAAAGGGAGTTTCATGGAGTTCACAAGGTTATGGGGATGTGGGAGAGGTCATATTATTACCACCTTACAACTGTGCTGCCTTCAGAGCTGGGTGGCTTCATTTGCAATGTCGGTATGTCTAATTTACATCTCTCTGGCGCCAGAGGGATGTAGTCTAGACATACTCCAACTGACCAGCTCTGAAGGCTTTGCTCCCCTCAATAACTAGGGATGTTAGCAGGTAATCAGTTAAAATGTTACATGAGCTGGGAACCATGGCAGCAGCCCCCATGAGGGGGGAACCACACCTCTCTAGCCTGACCCCAGTGGGGCTGGAGCAGCTCTTCCAGACACCCCCCCTTTAATTGGTGGCAGCACTACAATTACACAATTAATTTGTTAAACATCCCTAACAATAACCATGTGATCTCCCCACTAGGGATGTTAAATTTAAATTAATCGGCTAGTCAAATAATCAATGCAATTTACATTGACTATTCGATTAGTCAACAAGGGCACCTTGGCCTTTGCAGTGCCCCTTCAAACAGCTGTTACTACATTTCAAAGGCAAAAGCACTGTGGGGAGCATGGAGCCAGCGAGGGACACCCAGCTGGCCCCAGGGCTGCATGTGGCATTTCAAAGCAGCAGCGTTGTGGGAGCCCCAGGTCTGCCCCTGGTCTCCATGCAGCACTGCTGCTTTGAAGCACCCCCTCCTCTTCCCCCTTTCCCTTGCTGTCTCTTTCTGATAGAGGCAACAAGAGGGTGGAGGGACAGAAAGCGACTGGTCGACTAGTATGTCAACTATCTGATAAGCATTTGCCTATAAGATAGTCAACTAGTCGTTCACATCCCTACTCCCCACACCACTTTTTTGGGTCAGGTCCTCCTACAATTACAACACCATGACATTTCAGATTTAAACAGCTAAAATAATTAAATGTATGATTTAAAAAATCCTATGAAAATGAAATTGATCAAAATTAGAGATGTTAAATTTAGATTAACAGAACAGTCGATGGGATTTCCATCAACTACTTCACTAGTCTACAAGGGCGCTTCCACCTTTGAACTGTAGCAAGAGCCCTGCTGGGACTTGCCGAGCTCTTGCTCCAGTTCAAAAGCAGAAGAGGACCTTCCTTTTGAAATTTACAAAGCCCAGTGGGGATCTTGTACATTTCCAAAAAAAAAAAAAAAAAGCCCAGCAGGGAACATGGGACCAGCGGGGCACCCCTTTGGCCCTGTGCTCCCTGCAGCGCCTTAGCCTTTGAAATGTACAAGAGCCCCAGTGGGCTAAGGAAGCCCCACAAGGAGCACAGGACCAGCAAGGGAGTCTCTCACTGGGCCCCGCGCTCCCTGCCGGGCTTCTCCTCTTATACATTTCAAAAGCAGAAGTGGCGCAAGCGGAGACTGCTTCAGTCCCCGTTCACCATTTCCGCTGTGCCTCTACCTCCCGTGCCCCCCCCCCCGCAAAGATGGTGCTGGGGGGAAAACCCAGCTTTTAAGCTGGCTCCCCCCAGCACTAGCTCCTGCTCCTCCCACCTTGCTGCCTCTCTCCCACAGAGGCAGTGGCGGGGGGGCGGAAGCAACTAGTCTCTTACATCCCTAATCAAAATAGACATGAATTTGATAGGGTCCTAAACACCCTGTACAAGTTATGCAGAGTTCAGGATATACTGGAAAATGCCTACTTACATTTTTCTAGTTCCCACACCTCTTATCAACTGAGACACCTGCTCCCGGGGAGCTGCCCCTGAGTGTAAGCATGTAACCACTAATTTTTTAAACCAGCTTCCCTCTGTCAAAGGTTCCCCCCAGCCCCGCCTTTGATACAGAGGTAGCAGCTACGGGAATGGGCGAGGCTTGCATGTAAACCAAGGGTTAACTGACAATCCCAGGCTCGTTAATTAACCATGTTGGGTTCACATTCACATTCCTAGTTATTAACTGATTTTTTTGTACGTGTGTATGCATCCAAGATATTAGGGAAACAAAGAAGGTGAAGTAATATCCTTATTGGACCAACTTCTGTTTGTGAAAGAGACAAGCTTTCACACTTGCTCTGTTCAAATTCAGAATCTTGTATCTTTCACCAAAACAAAAGATGGTCAAATAAAGTATCCACTCGCCTTATCTGTGTATATGTGTGCGCACATATATATTACTTGTTCTTTACTTTGCTGAACTCCCTTGCTCCAGCTACTCTGACAGTAAAGGTTCTGATTATTTTGCATATCCTGCATGCAAGCCACTTAGTGAGCCCAGATGCTTAAGAAATTCTAATAGCTGGAGTACTTGCCTTCAGGGCTTGTGGTGTGGTCAGCACTGTCACTCGCACTACCTGTTTCTATAGTATATACAATGGCTAAAATAAGGATGTTAAATTGCAGTTTTCTGGCTAATCGTATAGTTGATAACAATTTGATTATTGATGATTAATCAATAAGGACCACTCTTCAGAGCCATAGCAGAGATAGCTCCAGGAGCAACCTGTGCTGTGACTGAATTTTAAATGAAGTAAGAGCCGCCAGGAGAGGCACAGCATCTCCATCCCAGCTCCCACTGAGTCCAGCAGCCCCTGTCCGTGGCCAGCCCTGTCCACC